TCATCCCCAATCCCAATGGTACTTGTATTGCAGAGGAGGGCAATTTTTCACACTTGTGGGTTTTATAGGGGTCATATATTGGGTTTGGGACAACCACTTTCGATCCCCCCGATGTAGGCAGTCTTTTTGGGTAAACTTCCACATGGTAGGCCAAGAAAAGCAGTGGGGTAGGTTAGACGGATGAACAGGACAGTGTTCGCAGCTAAGGGTTTGGGGAGACGGGCCAGGAGTGGGAGGCAAGAGCCCGAGATGCGCAGCTTGAAAGACGCTGTAGGCCCCGGGCAACTCGCAGCTCCTAAAGTGAGGAAATCATGACTACATTCCCTGTGCTTGTTAGCAGGACTGATGATCGAACCCGATCAGTTAGTTTGAAACAATCAGCTGCACATGACCCTCCTTGGTTTCTCCTTTTCTACAGGCGCCCTGGGACCCCGGGGGCCTCATCCCCACAGTCTCTGCCGCTCTTCGGGCCTCCACGAGTGGAGCACCTGAGCCCGGGTTGAGCACCTCAGCGGTTGCACGCCGTTGCAGGCCGCCGCTGCTTCGTGCCGCAGGCCATTGACCAGGACCCCTACTTCCGGCTTTGCCGCCGGGTAGCTGAGGACTGGCTTTTGGACGGCAGCGGTGCAGTGGACGTGGAGATGCACAAGTCAAAATGAATCAAACCCAACACACACCAACCTACATAGTCTACAAGAATCAGGTAAAGTCAAGCAACGTCATTTATGTAGACCAATTGAATATTCGGTTCGGAGCTTATTATATGGGGAACATCCTGGTTTCACTCTTTTGCTACTCCTTCATTCCTTCGTGGCTCGTCTTTTGTGGGCACAAGTCAGCAGGGAGAGATCTTCCCCGACAACGGGAGGACCTCAAGTGGCCGAAGCCTGCCTGTATCCACTCCAAGTTCCTGCCGGCCTTGCAAGGCCCAGCCGGCTTCGATGCTGTGGTCACAGATCATGATCTCGGAATCGATTTGAGAACTCCCTTCGATGTCATGGACAGAATCATCGAATCTCTTCATTCATGTGGACACTGCATCAAGATGGAACTTTGTTTCAACATGTTCTCTGCGCATGGAAGGCACAGCATCGCAAAAGATGCAACCATGTCCTCTGATTGCATATGATCACGTCAGATTGCAAAGGCCTTTGATCAAAACGTGGGTTTCACCAGGTCATCAAACCAAGATGTCGGCCTCTGTGGCCTCCACGGCCTTGTACATGACCGATACGGAGAAGCTGCTTGGTGCCAAAGCCAGTTTCTGGTGTCCATGATGTCTTGATATCTGACTTTTTGATTCACAGTGTATTTCTTTACATGTGAACTGTGAACAATTCAAGACGTCCTAGAAAAAGGTTCTGAGCAGTGGTGCTTGCTGCCTAAGGAAACTCAGGAAGAAGATCAACAAGCACGCCTTCTCTGGGGGCGGGAAGACCGAGGAGGAACAGCGAGAGCATGGGGCAAATCTGGACGTGGACGTCTCTTACCAGTGACTTCATTTGAACATCGCGCACTGGATTGTTGGGGGGGGCTTGCAGGGAATTGCGCCTGCAACATCTAGTCCTACTACTACTGCAACTGCTGCTGCTGCTGCTACTACTGCTGCTGCTGCTGCTGCTACTGCTACGACTGCTAGTGCGACTACAACTACAACTAGTACTGCCTGCTGCGTACAAACTACTACCTCCTAACTACTAACTACTAACTAACTGCTACTCACTATTACTACCACTACAGTCATCTAAGCCACATGAGGGTATACAGACGCCCTCCCCAAACGCTGGGTCTCAGCTCCAGGTATTTGAAGATTTGGCTTGAGGATGATGAGGACGGCGGAAACTGACTGAAGGTATGTCCGAGTTGGCGGTGGTGCCCCAAGTGGTGGTCTTTCACTAGGACGCTGGCGGGATCCAGGAGGTATCCAGTTCTTCCTTTTCACCCAGGAGGTATCCTGTTTAGAGCGACTTCCCGTTCATCATCGAGTTCGTGGTGCACTGTTATTCTTTGGATCGTGGTCAGCTCAGCCGCTGACGTTCAACAGGAGCTGGAGCGGATTGGTGAGGACTACGCTGCAGGGAAGCTGCTCACGGGTGAGGTGAAGAAGCGTTTGGGCGATGTGGTCTCCGAGATCGTGCGAGAACACCAAGAGGCGGACAGGGTGGGATAGGATCGGATGGGTATGATGCGAGCTCTAAGAAACTGGGACAGCTTCTTGACATGCTCATCAGTCCCTGTGACTGTTGTAAGTACTTTCGGGTCCCGGTGCCACACCCCATCATTATGGCCATTTGGTGCCCCTTTTCAAGCATCCTTCACCTGACCTGGATATTGAGGTCTCACTGGCTTGGATCTACTGGATGTTTGATTTGGATATGGAAGCAAGCCTCCTAAGGACAGCGACGTGCTTTTCTTTGGCACAGAGCTCGAGATAAACGAGAGCTTCTTCCTCCAGGAAGCGGTAGGCGGTAGGCAGGTTAACCTTAACACAATATCAGTAAAAATCGTTCCGCCTAGGGGGCATGTTTCAGATTTGATCGTTGATCGATCTAGAGGTAGGATGGCGAACTCATCGGGAAAAGGGAAGCCATCTCATGTTTCAACTGTTTGTTGAAACACCAATCTGAGCTGCCCAGGGCACTGGACCGGAACCTCAGAGCCCATAGACTCCATATAGACTAGACCGTTTACGACCTTGGAAGAGTGGACGACCGAACTTCCGACGGTTGGGCAGCCGCACCTCTCAGTGTCCAGGCCCGAGCGCGAATCGAGGATGCCACCGTAGAGAGGTTCATGGACCCTGCCCGGGAGGTCCGGGTTCCTCGGTGTTTGGGTGGAGGCGTCAGGGGGGGGGGAATCACCGGACAGAGTGACTGGTGACGGCTTCTGGCGATTCCCAAGCAGGGCTGTTAGAGGTTTAGGCTATAGGTTGAGCATCTCCTGGGAAGGAACAGACATCTAAGGTCCAACATCCGTATGGGCCAGAAAAAATGTTGGCGTGCGCCTCGGGCGGTTTCGGGCGTGTGTCTGTGGTGTCAAAGGTCCCCATCCGGCCCAGTTGGGGGATGCTGGATGCCCCCAGCCCCCAAACATTCTGCTTCCTAGACTTTGTGTCTTTTCTCTATCTTCCTAGACTTGAGGTGATTTTGTGGATTTTTGCATGTGTTTTAGCATATTTTTCTCCGGTGCTGGTTGTGGACACTGGCTCACCTGTTTATTCTTTAGCTCTCATGTCCTCATTCCGGCTGAAAAAGTGATCCGTGGCAGGAGCTTCGAAGCTCCTTTGCCAAAAAGCTGGCCACTGAGGCTGCGTAGGTCACGGGGTGGAATCCCGCCCAGGGACTCAGATGTGGCCAACCGCAGAACTCCAGATGAGGAAGAGTTCTGTGAATCGCAGTGAGCTGGGAGCTGGAGTTCTTGGGTTCGACTCCTGTTTTCAGCTCCCAAGTGGTTGAAAGCAGTATGTGCCGGGTCTTACTTGTCCAGGTTGCATCAGCGAACTTATCAGTGGTTGGCCACCGGATTTTCGAATCACGCGATTTCTGTGAAGAGCGAGCCGCAAGCCGGCAGCTCGCACGTCTGGGGCGCTCCCAGGGTATTTCGCGCATCAAGAGGATGCCAATCTTCAGCGTGCTGTGTGCTGCAATCAAGGCCAAAACAGCATCCGCTGCGAAACTTGACCTTACTGTAAACAATTGCAAGGGAGTGGATACTTTCAGACCTCATGTGCAAGCCGGCCATAGCCTGCCTACGTCCCATCAGCACTGCAAGCTCTCATGCAGGATCTCCCTCAGTCGGCAGTTGAAGCACTCCCCGTTTCAGAGGGAAGGCGGGCACTTTTGACGGGTTCGAAGCCGCAAGAACGCAAGAACGCACCCTACTGTTGACAGAAGATATGATGGGTTTATTTTGCAGAGAATCCAAGGTCCTTAAGTGCCCCCCTCCCAGACACGGCGACCAGCAGGTTGGCCATGGTGGGTTTGCCGAGTTTGAGTGGAGCCCAATTCATCATACGTTGCAGTGCCTGAGGATGTAATTCCAGCTTTCGAGATTGGAACCGAGGCAGTGAACTGGCCCCTGTTGGTTTGCCATCGATCTCAGCTATTATTAAATAGATAGAGAAAATGGACTTAATTGCAGATTATTAGCAATTGTATTCAAATATTAGACAATAGAAATATATATATATTCACACACACACATGGTTGACCTCTGTTGAACCATGCCTTGAGGCACATTTGCTGTGGGGCCGGTCAGTTCTCCCTCGCTCCCGAGGAGCCTCGTTGGAGGGTCTTGCCACCTGCCATTGCCAGGTGTGAAGCTCAGCTTTTGGGTGTTTGATCTCTTTCTACATCGATCCTTCTATATAGAGGTGGTTTGAGGTAGGGCAATCTTCGCAACTCTGCAAAAAGGAATGGCCGGAGCCGGAGCCCCCCAAAGAGGGTCTCCCTTTTGGCGGGTGGTCTCTGAGGGGTGATTCATGTACAGCCTGGGCTCAGCGCGGAGGGTTCTTGGGAAACATATTTTGGACGGTTTTTGGTGCCCTGCCTGGATTTAAGAAGGCTGTCTGTTCCTGATGAGGGTAATAAATCAATCCTGAAGTAACAAGCCGAAGCCGAGCCTGCTGCTTTGTGGTGAATGGGCATCACCATTTTTTTAAACCAGGCATGCTGCAAGGTGAGGGGGATTTGACGGTTGCACCGTGGCTCGGATGGTTGCACGGCATACCTGGCTCGAACAGATGTCCGCACTTCGGAGTCGATGGACATCCGCAGGACCATGTCGGGTTCTTCTGCCAACCGTGAGATATTGTAGCCAGGTATATATACTGTACATATAAGAACGACTTCAAGTGACAGGCGATAAGATCATTTTTTGGCTTCAGTGGTCGGCTGAGTCGCCTCCAAGTTTCAAGAGACTGGCTCCACAGATCTGTGGTGGGAGGATCCAAGGTCTGTGGCTCCCCCGAGTTGCGCCGTTTGCTTCGCGCATCGTTCGCCATGGAAGATTCCGATGTGCCCCCGCTGAACCTTCCCGAAGAAGAGGCGAGATGGGAGAGAGACAGGGATGAGACCTGGAAGGGATCAGGAAGGGTATTTACCCCTAGGAAAGCTGTAAGTCAAGTACAGGAGTCCCCCAAATAGATGAAAACGGTTTCCAATACAGTAGCAGTAGATTTTTCGTGGGAATTTACCTTTTCTATCTATTTGAGGACTATACGAGATAACTAGTAGAGATCACGTGCTTGTTGGGCCCCGCCCGGCAGGATTGGGGTAGCTGAGCTAAGTTCTAGACTCTAAGAGGAGACAAACGCACCCCATCGTGGTGAGGTAGTCGCTTCGGAACGCAGAAAAACGATCGCTTCGGAACGCGGCAATGTGATCGCTTCGGAACGCGTGTCATCGCTAGTAGGTTGGAAGCCATCGCTACTACTATGGAGGCCATCGCTAGTAGATTGGAGGCCACCGTAACCACTAGCAATGAATGAAGGATGCAGAGCATTTGTGTTACATGGTACTGTGGAAGCAATTAGCAAACAGAGATCATCATGTAGATTAATATCCAAAGGGACGTTATTAACACCCTCCCACAACCCCACCCACCCCCACCCCCCCACCCCACCATCCCAACCCAACAACATCAATCAAACGCAGAGCATCTGTGTTACATGGTACAGTGGAAGCAATTAGCAAAAAGAGATCATCATGTAGATGAATGTCCAGACAGACGCTATTAACACCCCCCCCCCCCCCCCCCCCCC